CTCGTCCCTGCCTCCCTAACCTGTTCTTCCTCCCACCTATCCCCTCCTCCCACCTCAAGCCGCACCTCCATCTCCTACCGACCAACCTCATCCCGCCCCCTTGACCTGTCCGTCCTCCCTGGACTGACCTATCCCCTTCCTAACTCCCTACCTACACTCACCTTTCCTGGCCCCATCCCCGCCTCTTCGACCTGTTTGTTTCCTCTCCACCTATCCTCTCCTCTATCCCTCTTCTATCCGCCTCCCACTCTCTCCCTATTTATTTCAAAACCCCCTTGCCCTCCCCCTTTTCTGATGAAGGGTCTAGGCCCGAAACGTCAGCCTCTCTGCTCCTATGATGCTGCTTGGCCTGCTGTGTTCATCCAGCCCTGCACCTTGTTGTCATAGGTCTCACCTGGTTCCTTCCTTATCTTTCTGAACCATTGTCTATATGCTTCTGGTACCAATTCATAGGCACTCAAAATAGCTCGTTTTACTTCTTCATAGTCTGCTGACACCTCCTCTGACAGTGCTACAAATACCTCACTAGCCCTGCCAGCCAACTTAGTCTGAGTTAAAACTGAAAGAACTGCTGATGCTGTAAATCAGGAACAAAAACAGAAGTTGCTGGAACAGCTCAGCAGGTCTGGAAGCATCTGTAAGAAAAATCAGAGTTAACGTTTTGGGTCCGGTGACCCTTCCTGAAAACAATTTAATTTTTTCTAGCTCCTTGCACTTTCCTTTTTCTCTGATAATACCTAAATGCTTGACTAACTCTTTTGCAATTTCAGCTTTCCTTTTGTCCCTAGTTAAACCCAACTCTAGCTTGTTTGCTAATTCTAAAAGTATATCCTACCCCTGTTTTTCTAAACTTTCTTGGCAAGTTTGAGAAGCATCTTCAAATCCCAGGACCACTTCAGCAATGTTAAGCGCCATTTCCCTCACTTTTGATTTAACAACGTAACCGAAATTAAACAAATTTTTCTCACCTAGGTTTTCTTTAAAGATCTAAGACACTGATCCCCAGGTCTGTTTAAATCCATCCAAATCTGTTCAGATCCATTCAGATCCCGTACATGAACTAGCTAGATCCTGGACTTTACTTCCCAAATTGTTAGAAAGGAAGGGGAGGTCGAACCCCTCTGATAATTAAAATCAAAACACAAGCCCCCGATTTGTTATGGCAGGAGTAGAGGTCCCCTTCTAATAGTTAAACTTGAAACACCCAGAGAAGCTCGCCTCACCTCACCAAATCTGCTAAACTGTTCGGAGAAGCGGAGGTTAAATGAAAGATTTTCCCTGATATTCACTTTATAAGTAACAATTAACAATTTATTGATTTAACTCTAACAGTGAACAAATTAACAGAATTACTAACATATTGAACAATTCCCACTTAACTACTAACTATTCCCTAACTGAACTAAATTCTACTGGTATGCTGTTTGGATAAACACAAGTCCTACTTATATAAACTCAAGTAATAAGAAAATAAATTAAAACTTAGTCTCTCAAAATTTATACACCTTTCTTCTACTGTTCTCAAGTCAAACAACTTTCTTCTGCTGATCTGGCTGTCAGATGTTTTCTCTGTGACATCTTCTGTGAGGACTCTTAGCTCGAAGTGCCGTGGTACCTTTTATGGATAGATGGTGCTTTCTTAGAGAGCTTAGCGATTTCTTGTGACACCTAAATGCTTATTTCTCAGATGGCAGTTCACTCTCGCACCGATTTTCAAAAACCCTCTCCTTATAGACTTTGAATGACATATCAATTTTCTTACAATAGCATTGGTCTGAGGTTGTCAAAACCATCAGATTTAAATTCAATTGGCTTTCGATCTTGGTTTAAATTAATTGGCTGATTCCAGCTCATTGCCAAAACATCAAAACAAGCCTAAGGTTTCCGATGACACAGCCAATGATACGTTTCAATTTCAGAACTGTCTGTATGCCCTTCAGCTGCTTACAGGTACATTTTCATTTTACTCTCCAAACTTAGAAAAGCACATCACCTCTTAAAGGGACGACACACTCTTCTCCCTTATCATTTTTTTTAACAAAGAAATTCTAGCTTCCTGCCTTCCAATTCACGATTAGTTAACACAACTTTGTAACACCAGGCTCTCTAAGCCACCGCACGTTGCCATCGAAGAGGCTGTTGCGGGGGAGAGGTGTGCATGGATGAGACTGTCAACATCTTCTTCTGGAATGTGCCTATGCAAAAGGAGTCTGGAGAGACATGCAGTGATTATTGTCAAGGTTCATGCTGAGCAAATCCGTGACACAGGACTCTGTGCTCTGTGGTCTGTTCCTCAGGATACATACCGAAACAAACATCAGCTGTACCTGGAAGTTTTTCAACTCAGTGAAAGACATTCTTTGGTCTGCTCAAAACTTGCTGGTCTTCCAGTTAAAAGAGTTGACCCTGACTGAGTGTTGCAGACTGAGAGACACACTAAAGCTTGGGGCAGCTGCTGCCAAAGCACAGTGCGAAAAGGCCACCATATAAGGTCTTTCTGCCAAGCTACACTGGAGGTCTGTTCAGTCATTGAACCCTCCCAATGCCTCAGCTACATGTAAATAGTTCCTAGTTCCTAGCATAACTAAGAAATGCCTTTGGATTAGTTATAACTATCGAGAAAGTCAAACCCCAATGTTTGTTTTCTTCTCTGTACGCAAAAACTGTAGATCTGAACTGCTTTAGTAACTGTGTATGTACATAAAGATTTCTGTTTTTATGAATAAAGTATATTTTTGCAAAAAAGGATGGAGAGGAAGCAAGATAAAAATTTGTCTTCTGATTTATAAAATGTGTGCAAGATACTCAAACTGTAAACATTTTATGTTTAATGTTTAATTCAGTGAACAGAAGTAATCTAAAGATCAGTAGATAAATTGTAGTTTCTAAAAATGCTTATTTTTCAAAGAAATGTAATTCATTGAATTAATCTGTATTCATATTATATCTATCTGCTGTTTATCTATGGTTGCTATATGGAACATGAAAAATTGAGATGGGTATTTGAGGGAAAGTTAAAAGTGCAGGAGAAAGGAATGGGGGGATGTCTTAATTGTGGGAGATAATATAAGGAGGGTCCAGTGGAACATAATCATCAGGATAAACGTGCTGGTCTGAATGCCTTTTCATGCCAATGATTCAGTATCAGGACTCGAGTTTTGTCATATATTTATCTTTGAAAGGGAATTTGCAGAAGAGCAGAAAACGTTGAAGGCAGAAATTATGGCTAAGATCCTCAGGGAAGAATCCAATATGGAAAAGAAGAAGAAGATCTATCCTGTACTATTTCCAGAAAATCTAAAGAGCGAAGATAAAACTTCAGAAGTGTGGAAATTAGGGAAAAAGCTGCTGCAGTGCATAGAAAACAACTCTGAAGATGACAGAGTTATAAATACCCATGAAGTAAGTGCAGTAACTCATTTGTCAAAATAATGTACTTTGTTATAGTTATTTGGTAATATTGAACTTGAATATTACTAACAAAGACAAATTTTGTCTAAGGTTTTATCTTGCCCTCATCAGGACAGTTCATAAGAATACCAAAGTAAAGTAAAACCGATATTCATACTGTATGAGAAGAGAATACTGATTGGTTGGCATGTGGATTCTGATTGATAAACACATTGTCATAAAGAGGAGCACTCTACCTTCATAGAGTATGAATCTTGTTTTCTCTTTATTTTGCTATTTCTCATGAATTGTCTTGATGAATACAAGATAAAAAGCTTCAACAAAATGTCTTTTCAGCAGTACATAATTATACCATACCATATGTTTGTTGCAATTCTATTTTGCTACATATGGCCAGGTTGTAAATGTACACATGCCATCTGACTGAGATGAGAGAACTCTTAACAGTCTGCAGAATGTATTAAGTAAAAATTTTCAATGTTGAGTGCTGCAATTAAAAAAAGACTCAAAATGATGACTTAGGAATTAAGATCAGACAACATAAAATGTTCACCAAGTTTTTCAATAATATAAATAGATATAATGGTGTTACATAATTTATCCCCTGGAGCTATTGAGTAATATTTTCTATTAAGTCTGTATGAATTGAAAAACGGGTTTGTATTGAATGAGTGACTTTGCAGAGCATCATTGGCATCAATCTTTCTAATTAAGAGGTGCAGAAAATCCTTTCATAATGAATTGAAGTAACTTGTTGAAGCTGTAAATGGAATTAAAATTTGCAGTGTTTGTTTTCTGTCTGTAATTCTGAGGCTAGTGATGCGATAAACTAGTTTTTCATGTCATGCTGTTAAGCTACTGCTGTGATCTATTCAAATGGAAGTGTTTGAACTCACCGCTATAACTCCATTGATGATACTTCTGGAACCCGTAATAAACCTTTGGGAGTCAACAGGGGATATACACCTGAAACTTGGAAGGAGATGAACAGCAAGCAAGAACCAAGCTCCAAGTAGAGCTGAAATGCATAAGAGCAAAAATTTTAGCAAAGGGTAACAGGTCACAGTGAGGTACTGCTGCTGACAATGGGGTTAGCAAAATACAATAGCTGCTTATAAAATTATCAGTAACTCAGCTTTGAAGTAAGAACATACCTATACTTTTCTGTTTGATGGTGCATGTAGGTGCCGTGGCATCTCAAAGAAACTTGATTTTTATTCCACTCAGTATTTAGGAAATAGGGACAGGAGTAGACCATTCATATCCTCAAGCCAGCTCTGCCATTCAACTAGTTCATTTTCCCACACTATTCCCATGTTCCTTCAAATCTTCAACATCCAGAAGTCTATTGATCTTTGTCTTGAAGCTATTTGTTAACCAGAAAAGGGGATTTATATTTTTGTTCCTAGTATATCATTGGTCTGTCTTCAGATGAATGATGTAAGAATAGATTTTTAATTTGCAGTCCAAGCAGAAATGCCTGTCCACAGACTCGATTAAAATTGGACATATAAGCTGATAGTTATGAAGCCAGGCCTGCCACAGGCCTGCCCTTCTGAGGAAGAGTCACCGGACCCGAAATGTTAATTCTGTTTTTTCCTTTACAGATTTGCCAGACCTGCTGAGCTTTTCCAGCAACTTAGTTTTTGTCCGTGAATTATGAAGCCAGGCCTGCCACAGTTATCTGCAGTAGTTCACTGATAATAGTTGGTCTTTTAAGCAGTTTTGTTGCCTGCCTTCTTAAGAAAGTTGTCTCCCACTCTCCTGCGTATTTAATAATGGGTTCTCAGGTCCTACAAGCAAACAATTAATTTTGATTGTTCAGAGATAGCAGGAACTGCAGATGCTGGAGTCAGAGATAACACAGTGTGGAGCTGGAGGAACACAGCAGGCCAGGCAGCATCAGAAGAGCAGGAAAGTTGACATTTCGGATCAGGGCCCTTCTTCAGAAATGGGGAGGGGAAAGGGAGCTCAGAAATAAGTAGAGAGAGGAGGGTTGGGGCTGGGGAAGGTAGGTGGGATGGTGATAGGTGAGTGTAGGTAGGCAGTGGTGGGGATTGGTCAGTGAGGTGGGAGGGGCGGATAGGTGGGAGAGAAGATTGACAGCTTGTGTCAGTCAAGGAGGCGGGGATGAGAGGGAGGTTTGGTCGTGGGATGAGGCTGGGAGTGGGGAGATTTTAAAACTGGTGAAATCTATGTTTAGGCCATTGGGCTGTAGGCTAAGAGGCCGCGTCTGCTCCCAAGATGGGGCTTTCCACTCCCACACATCCCAGATGTCCTCCTATTTCAAGAATCGCAACCTTCCCCCCTGCAGTGGTCGAAAATGCCCTCCATCGCATCTCTTGTGTTTCCTGCACCACTGCCCTCACGTCCCATCCTCCCAACAAAAATAAAGACAGAATCCCCCTTGTCCTCACACATCACCCCACTAACCTCCACATTCAACATGTCATTCTCCACCATTTCCACCACCTACAATCCAACCCCACAACCAAAGATATATTTCCCTCCCCACCCCTATCTGCCTTTCATAGGGACTGCTCTCACCATGATTCCCTTGTTCGCTCCACTCTCCCTACTAACCCTACCACCCCCAGCACTTTTCCCTGCAACAGCAGGAAGTGCTACACCTGCCCCTACACCTCCCCCCTCACCTCCATTCAAGGCAAAAAACAAACCTTCCACATTAGACAGGGGTTCACCTGCACATCTGTCAACTTGGTCTACTGTATCCGCTGCTCTCAATGGGGCCTCCTCTACATCGTTGAGACCAAGCGGAGACTCAGAGACCGCTTTGTAGAGCATCTGTACTCTGTTCGTGATAAACGAAAGCACCTTCCAGTCGCGAACCATTTCAACTCCCCCTCCCACTCCCTGGGTGTCATGTCCATCCTGAGCCTCCTCCAGTGTCACAGTGACGCCACCCACCAAACTGGAGGAGCAGCACCTCATATTCCGCCTCGGGAGCCTACAGCTCAATTGCCTAAACATGGATTTCACCAGTTTCAAAATCTCCCCACTCCTGGCCATATCCCATACGCAACCCTTCCTCTCATCCCTGCGTCCTTGACCTGACACTATCTGTCCTTCTTCAGTCCCACCTATCTGCGCCTCCCACCTCACTGACCAATCCCCATCACTGCCTACCTGCACTCACCTAACACCATCCCACCTACCTTCCCCAACCCCACCCCTCCTCTGTCTATTTATTTCAGAGCTCCCTTCCCCCTCCCCATTTCTGAAGAAGGGTCCCGACCCGAAACATCAACTTTCCTGCTCCTCTGATGCTGCCTGGCTTGCTGTGTTCCTCCAGCTCCAACACTGTGTTATCTAATTTTGATTGTTCTCTCGTTTGGATTTTTATGTAATATGTAGACCTTTATTCTTTTCAAAATGTGTTTACTGTATTTCACATTATTTTGTATGATTAATAAAATGCTTTATTCCAGAACAGGTGTACAATTAAAGTGATTGGAAACAACAAAGTTCACCTATTGCTTCGGTACAGTTACACAAGTAAAGAACACATGCATTAACGCAGAGAGGAGTTTTATTTGGTATAAGAAAATAGGCTCACACTGCTATTTGTTTTTTGGAATAGATTAATAGTTCAGCATAAGACCAGCTAGAGACACTAACGGATTTTAGGTAAGCTCCTTAAAGCTCAGGTTTAGATCTTATTCATGGAAAATTAGACCCAGAATTCTGAATCTTGACACTGATATTAAGTTGAATCAGAAAGATCAATTCCTAGATCTAATATGTTTATAAATACATAGATATTATAGATTTGTTTCTTTCCCCTGCAGCAAGAAAGGCGATCCCCATCACAAATATCAGATGAAGAAACCATCACAGAACAAATCCCAAATTATTTCACGCAGGATTTCAGTGACCAGCTTCTGGATGAAGAAAGTCTTAATTTGCCTGAATTTCCAGGGCTTTGGGATAAAGAGCATACACCCAACAAGGTATAAAAGACATTTATTCCAGTAATGGTTGGTGGTGATGATGCAGCAGAACTTTGAAATCAAAGAGCATGACACAAAAGGGTGGCTCATAAAAATACATTTATTTATTAAATACACTTTTGTTATGCTATCTACTTTGGTATTTTTATTCAGAGTGTCTAACTGAGCACATTATTGCAAATTTTGAATTATATGTCACTGTAATATGTTAGAATCACCATTATAATAAAAATAAATTTGTGCTAAGTGCAGAGAATAAGGAGAAGCAATAAAAATAAAGGATACAGGTAAAATATGGGTGCAGGAACCGAGTGACGTGAGGTAAATGAGCACAAATGATTGCAGGTAGCAGGGTTAAAAAGGCATACAAAATTATCAAATATATGGTCACTACTTTCCAGAGTCCTACCATTCATAATGTCTTGTTAGCCCTCTCCAACTCCATTACCTCACACTCTGCTGAGTTGAAATAAGGCCCTTTTGTTTTAAAGTAGAACAGCAAATATTTTTGACAGTAGATTTAAACAAATACCTTTTCCTTTAAAAGTTTTGTCAATTTGTAAAAGGCTAGGATTTAAGGTATATATAGGCTTATTTTTAAAACACTTTGTTACCATGTATTGAATGTATTTTTGTATCACTAAGGATGAAACAGTCAGCAAACGTTTAGGAGCGGGTACTAGTAAGATGGAACAAGAGATTTTGGCACGACAGTTGGAGAAACAAAGAAGTGGGATCGTCCAAAAACAAGTAGCAGCTGGTCGGGAATTCAAAGGCTGTCCTTTCTACAGCAAGCCCGATATTATTCACTTCAAGGTTGGTGTCATGTAATCGATTCAGATTGTTTTACTTTCTTGGATGCCAATGTTGAAAGTAAGATTGTGCTTCTTAACTTCCTATACATAAAGAGAAAATTATTAATTTAGAAAACTGTATGTGAGGTTCCTTTGTTAGAAGCTGAATGTTTGATACCAAGGAGGCTGCTGCATTAACTCACCACCACTTCCTTTATTTGCCTAAAGATCTCAAATGTAGGTCAATTCTGTAGTAACCTGTAGTATTCATCAACTTGAATCTTGGGCAAATACATTGCATTTTCTTCTTTTTCTTTCACTCCTCAAATTTGAAATGTTTTATAATATACTCTTAATTCTGAGTTCCTTGCTTTTCAGATTCACTTTCCCACTGTTCCTTGATACAATATCCCCTCACTGTGAAGAATCATGCAGCCTTTTACTGATTGCTGGTGCCCAATGCTGAAGTTAGGATACTTGCCACATCATAAGTTAATGCCAAAAAATATATCAGTGAGCTAGCTGACCTTGCTTTACAGTTATGTGCAGGGCTGCATAATGTTGAGATAAGTTAATATTGAGTCTTTAATTTAGGAAGCCTGCGATGATAAATATGTATTTTAGTGTCTAAAAACTAATAGCATTTCAGTGGATTTAATGCTATTCTAATCCAAAGGAGTAGATAACAATTAGTAGGAAATAGAAGATATATTGTAATCAGTTTAACTGAGCATCCAGTCAATGAATGTCGCTTTTCTTTCTTCAATCCTGTTCATTTTGTTTTTTTTTTGTCTGTTTGTGTTGGCTGCTTTTCCTTGAATCCCTGCTCATTTTGTTTATGTCTCCTCACTGCTTGTAATGTTGTTCCTATCTGTGTCCTCCTGCTGATTTTCCCTTTTCTAATTTCACTTCTCAGGCTTTCCTGTTTTATACTGGTGAGTTCACTGGTTCAGCAAGTTTCACATTCATCTCATTCTCACAGATAATGTCGATACAGGCGGGTTACTTAACTTGGAATTTGAATGTAGAACTAATGAACATCAGAATAAAATTAATGAACTGAGAAAATATTTTGATTAAAATAATATTTTCTGCTACAGGCTAATAAGTACATGGAATAGTTCCCAATTAAAACAGTTAATGCCATATCAGTGAACACCTTACAAAATAACATTGTTCAAAATCATGGCACTTAAATGTTGGGTTGTGAAACAGTTATGCCCACAGAGGGCACAATCAAAAACATATAAATGTCACAAATTCAAAAAGCTGAATCAAGCTCTCCAGTTTTATCTCTGAAGTAAGATTAATTCTATCCTGACTCTGAGTTGTATTTAAAATAGTGTGACAATGTGCCCTTAAACAGTTTGCTTGGGACACCATTCCTAACATTTATAACTCTGAGTACATTTTACTATCTGTTCTGACTTTATTGTTCACTGATTTTCACATATATCCTGTAGTCCTACGTAGTTGATATAGTATAAAATAGTAATGTAATGTGCGTGGAATAATGCACATATACTACAATTGTATGATTGGTGCATAATTTTATAAATACTAATGGTACTTTTAGATTTTGAGTTTGCAGTTATAGACAGACAAGTGTTGGTTATTTCCATAAAGGGTTTCCTTTTTAAAAAATACAAGGTCAGAGAGTTCTTCTGGAACAGTGAACTAAATCCAGAATTTGTCAGAAAGCAAGTGACTGTAGACTTCTAGGATGATAATGGAAAGATGTTTGTGCTGTTGGATGTATGACGGTAGAGTAAATATTTATCTTAACATTTAAACATTATCTTTGTGTTCAGCTCAAAAAACAATCTAGGATTGAGCAAGTTTTTTTTTTAAATTCTGTTTGAAAAACACCAGAATTGAGCTCAGAAGTAAGTTTAGTTTCTTGCCTACAGGAGTTGAAGACAGTTCAGGGAACTCATCATCCCAGTGGAAAGATTTAGTTTATGAATCTTTTTAGCCAGGAAAGTTTGTATAGAAATCTGTAGGTTATGAGAGCTAAGAAAGTTTGTGCTGTCAGATTTGTGAAAATTTGACGTTGGCTGTATTAGAAAGGGATCATCACATTGTCTCCAAAGTTGGGGCAAAGAAACTGTCAGTCGGTTAAGTGGAAGCTTAAAGATATGATATAGGTGTGTATTTTCTCATGACTTGTGTCTGTGTAATGGATTGTGTCAGGAAATAGGTTGAAACTTTGTTTTGCTATAAATTTGAAGATCATTCTAAATGCCTTTTATATTTAGCCAGCTCAATTGTTTCTTCATTTTTTCTGTAATAAATGTCTGTGCTCATGTAAAGAAAATCTGCAGGCTCAACGCTAACTAACTAAACAAAAAAAATGAGATCAGTGAAGCTAGGTTTCATGCTGAGATCAGACTTTTCCAGTCATCAGCTGGGATCATAAGTGTCATACACATATCACACTGCTGTGTCTGAAATAGAAAGACAATTTATGCTGCCTTCTCCATGACCAAAATTTACAAAAATTTATTCATCTGCAAACTTCCTAATTCAAAACAACCAATATATTGGCCTCATTAAGGAACTTCCATTTGGCCTCAGGATAAACTTACATAAAGAAATTAGATCTACTGTCTCCTGTTTCACTCAATCCTGTTAAGCAATTCTAATGATTCCTTTTCCATTTCTGATAAGGGAATAGCATTCAGAAAGTTAAACGTGTTTTCTAGTTTTGCAGATGCAGACTGACCTGATATATTTCTAGCATCTTACGTTTTCCTTCAGAATTTGGTGTTTGCGATATTTTTGCTTATTTTCCTTGATTTTTATTTTGTATCTTGAACGTTACCATCTTATTCTGTTCTGTTATAATTCACAGTACAAATAAATTAATGTCAGATAATAGTCATGTTGTAAACTGTTTGCATTTTTAGAACTTTGATGTTGGTCAAACTTACAAGAAAAAGGCAACGCTGATAAATGCTTCATACGGTATCACTTTCTGCAGGCTGATTGCCATCACTGATTGCTTGAAAGACTTCATTGAGGTTGAGTGAGTATTATGTAACAACTAGGAATGTTTTATTACCATTAAAAAGGCATTTGCAATTAAACTATTAAGTTGTATATAATTCACTTCAATGGATAAATAATTAAAATTTAAATGGTACTAATTCCTCATTCACTCAATGCCTACATAATGTGGCATTATCTAAACATGTAGAAGGATCTAGTTCTATAGTTTTAGATTTAAAATGGAACCAACCGTGTTAGCATTAAATACCATGGGCGGAATCTTACATTTTTTTTAGTTGAGCTTCATCAGGTTCTGTGGAGGATTTCTGTTGTGAGATCTTGCAAATTTCTTGCAACACCTGACCATCTCATCTCATTAACTACCTACATTGCATCTATAGTACTCTTCTTACCGGATTCTGGCTCCATTGTACCATGTGCCATTCCTGGACAAATCTGCACTCACAGGATATCTGCTGAGCGACAAGCATCCCTGGTACCCAGGCCATTTAAAAGGCTGCGAAGCACCAGTCTACACTGGCGTTCTGAAGCTGCCCTGATTGAGAATGGACAGTCTTTCTGATGATATCAGAGAAGAGGTAAATAGCACTGTGATTCTCCAAAAGGACCTGGAGATTCTGGTAGAGAAGGTGGTCCAGAGTTGTGCCTTCTGTTTCTAGAAATCTGGCAGAGGAGGCCACACCACCAGACCCTGGAAGCCTGGTCCAGGGGTCACCACCCAACACAGTGCTGTTTCTACAGCCTGGAGGAATGGCCAGCAGTGCCTGAAGAATGTCAGACACCTACTGTATCCTGCCAACGTATGTGCCACAACCCTCTCTGCCCCTCACACTCACTCTGTTATTGCACCCACCTCCCATGCTCATACTTAGCAACTCTCACAATTGCATATAACATCTTCCCTCACTCACTTTTGTTTCTCTCCCACCCCCTCCACACCATTAACACTACATCTGCACTGTCTACTCACTCACCCATGACAACTCTCCATCTTTCACCCACCTGCACCAGCATTAACAACTGTGCAGGCGACTTACACCTGGGTCTGAGAGGGGCATATACCTGCACAGCACTGCCCCAGCCATTGGCCTCAGGATCAAAGACATGGTGACAGGGGGCCAGGGAACCTGGCGAACACTACAGGTGTCCCTTCATCACAAGGAGAGAGGGTGATGCCAGGAGGTGTCCAGCCAGAGGAGGAACCACATGCAGGCCCCTCAAAAGCCTCCATTCAGGACACTCCAGAGGTGGCTGGGCCCTCCACCTCCCCCAACCTGTGGAAGTTCAAGCCAAAGAGGGTCGACCTACCTTTGACAAGTAATCCTCAGCATGCCTGGCCTGTCTGGGCACAAATGCCCCTAGAGTCACCTGACTAAACCTCCAAGACCAACGGGTTTCACTGCCAATTTTCCTGGCCTTAAAGTGTTTGCCTTAAACAAAGTAGTCAGCAATGTCGGTGCAAGGGAGTGTACAGCCTGCTGGGAGCCAATGCATTAGGTTTGTGATGGATTATGAGCCTGAAGGTTTGTGTTGGATGCCTCCATGGACTTCATTGAGGGCTACTCCCCTAAGACTATGAGACATGGTTACTTGCTTGCTGCATGTGCAGTGTGTCTGCTGTGTAAGCTGATGGCACATGGTGCAGGTTTGAGGCTAACATAGTATGGTGCCATATAGCAGGATTTCTGTCTCTTTGACTGTGGATTGCTGACTAGCAAGGCAAGTTGCCTAGTTCTGTGACTATGTTAATAGGCAAGTCAGGGATGCTGGGACCATCCTGGTTGGTGCTAAATGAGTGAGCACTGAGAGAACAAGTGAGCAGCCCTGATATGCAATCTCATGAAATCAGCGAGCAGGGTGCATGTCTGTATGTGCAGTCTATCTCTACAGCAGCTTTTCAATGCTCATTACCAGTGCACCCTGAAATACAGTTCTCAATTTCACAAACATCCTGCAAGTGGATTGAAAAGATCCTGAGAGTTTGACAATTATCAGATGCCAATTTCCATGACGAGGGGCATGGGCAGCTGGAGCAAAATGGAGGGTCCTCAAAGGCAGCAACTACTATAATAACAATTCCAATGTTGTGTTCTGAGCTGTTGCTGCTATTGATTCAGCTGCCAAATACAAACTTTAAATTCTGTACGTATGCAAGACTAGTGGCATTTGAAATCCAATCTATTCTTTAATAATTTACAGTTCAGTTTGGGTTCTGCCGGGGCCAATCAGCTTCACGCCTCATTACAGCTTTGGTCCAAGCATGGACAAGACAGTTGAACTCCAAAGATGTGGTCACAGTAACTGCCCTTAAAATCAACAAAGCATTTGACCAAGTGTGGTGTGAAGGAACCTGAGTGCAAATGGAGTCAATGAGAATCGGGGGAAAAGCTGTCAGCCAATTGGAGTAATACCTAGCGCAAAGGAAGATGATTGCAGATTTTGGAGGTCAGTCATCTTAGTTGCAGGATATCACTGTAGCAGTTCCTCAGGATAGTGTCCTAGGTCCAATGATCTTGAGCTGCCTCATCAATGACTGTATGGTATCATATGGTCAGATGTAGCGATGTTTGCTCTTGATTATACAATATTCAGGACCATTCACAATTCTTTAGTGTAAAAGTCATATCTTTCTATTTTCTGGATTGATGATGTGGATTGAAATGGAAAAAAGTACCCTTTTAAAGACTAAGGATTGTGTAAGGGATTGCTACACTTTTAAAGTAAGTTACAAAATCACATTGCAAGGATTGCTTCATTTAACCAGGGGGAGGTCAGCTGGCAACAAGTAGCTGATTACTTTGTCTAGGAGATCGGCTAGCTCAGTTGGCTGGTTGGTTGGTTTGTGATGTAGAGTCATGCTAACAGCATAGATTTAATTCCCATAACAACCAAGGCTACAATGAAGGAATCTCCTTCTCAACCTCACCCTTCACCTGAGGCATAGTGACATTCAGGTTAAACCACCACCAGTCATCTCTTTCTAATGAGAGAGCAGCCCTATGGTCCGGTAGGACTGCTGCGACTTTACCTTATTGGTTTGTGGAGTGGTGACTGGGTTGTTGATAACGAAAATTATTACCCTGTCAGTGTGATGATGCTGTGGCTTTAAGAGGTGATTTTTCCCTGGTTTCTTTTAAAAGAGAGAGATTGGTGGCCAGGTACCAAGCAGTCAATGAGAAGATAAACAATTTGTGATGCTTTAAGTTTTTTTTAAGTTGGAACAATAGAGCAGCCTGAGTGCATGTGGTCAAACTCTCATAGATCCAGGATTTTTAGTTTACTTTAAGCCGTTGTCGCTAGGGTCTCAGCAGGGTTGGAAGGCAGTGAATCTCTCCTAGCAGCTACATTCTGTCTCTCTGGGGAGCTGCTGCATGTACCTCTTTCTAGCTGATAGGATTGCACATGAGAAAATCTATTTCTCTAAATTTTCCTTTTTGTCAAGGGTGCCTTCATGGGATGTTGCTATATTGGAACAGTCACTATTTAGTTGTAAAATAATCAGCACCTCGCACTTACCTTTGAAATAAGAAAAAGGTAGGATCTAGGCTATCTTCTTGATATAGTTTTAGGGGGTCTTGTCTGGTCCATAATATTTGCAACTATATGATTGGCTGCTGAATAGCTGAAGAGCTTGTAGATAGAAATGATATTGCCAGAAACCTTTGGACCTCTAGAAGGGGAGGTAGTGTGTTTCTGTGCAGGAGAAAGTACTTGAAGCCTGAAGAAAGCCAGTCATCTTCTCCCATCAGTTGCTGTAAGCTGTTGCTTTTAACTTTTAAGTCAGAGACTTTATAACTTGTGAACCAGTCACTCTGCATCTCCTGCAAGGAAGTGGAAAGTACCTAGAAAACAGAGATTGAAGAACAATAAGTTTTGACCAGGACCTGAGGACACAACCTCAAAATGAAGGGACAACCCTTTAGAGCTGAGATGAGGATGAATTTCTTCAGCCAGAGGGAGCTGAATCTGTGAAATTCCATTGCTGCAGAGCCCAAGTCATTGATTATATTTGAGACAGTCCTAGACGGGTTCTTTATTTGTGAGGGGATCAAGGGTTACAGGGAAAAGACAGGAGAATGGGTTTGAGAAACATATCAGCCATGATAAAATGACGGAGCAGATTCGATGGACCAAATGGTCTAATTCTGCTCCTATATCTGATGAACCATCGCTGATTCCAAGTACACAAAGGAATAGGATGTTCTTGTGTTGTTAGGCACAGAAGAGAGGTAGTCAAATTCTATTCACCTAAAACAAATACTTCAGAATGAAATTTGAAGTTAAAAAATAAATCAGTTAGTATTCCTAGTTGCATAACTGATCCATTGACTGATTGTTCTAGTTATTGTATTTAATTATTTCAGTCATCTCAGTAACAGTGACTGACTGACTACCTCACCTTAATCTACTCAAACAAATTCAGTTGCTTTTGTAAAGCAGAAAAATCACTGGAAACTCAATATACCCCATTTTGTGTTGTATTCAGTTTGTGCATTAGGTAGTGAGTTTATTCCAGTGATCTTTGGGGTGTAATGGTTAGAACATAAGTGTCACAATTCATGCTACCACCCAGTGCTGAGTTTACCCCATTATTTTTAGGATGGTCTATCGACCCAGTTTTGTACATCTATATATCAGTTATATAACTGCTTTGTAATTGTTATAATTACAGAGGAAAGGTTTTGATTGGAAGCTAAAAGAAACCTTGAAGAACTATCAAATTTTGTTTTGACAACCAGTCAGCTAATATTTTAGGTGATCAATGATTGGCTTTAAAGTGATTGTTCCAAACATACATTCCATCCCGTTCTGCAATTATATTTGTGAAAACAGCATCTTCTCATTTCTTGAAGACAGCTGCAGATTTGGAGTATGGTTGTTGTCTTATAAAGTTTCTTGTTATCCTGTGTTCTGTTATGTTTATTTATTCCTAGCTTCAAGCCTCCAGGTCAGATTTCAGCTGGTATGTCTTGTGAGATGACAGTGACTTTCAAACCTCTGGTAAGAAGAAATATATGCTTGATTAAAAATGTATATGCCAAGAGTATTTTGGTGGTAAAAACAGCCACTGGAATGTTTTCTTCAGTTAAGTGGTCCATAAATAACTCTGTCGGCTTTAATGCCGTGCAACAGGGATGTGTCTTGTAACTCAATTCCAACTTCTTCCTTTTCAGAAGGTCCAATTAAAAATATTGTATATAAATTATCAAGTACTGTTTACATATTGAGTTTCTTAGTCTAAGTGACTCGTTAGAAGTGTGTCAGAGATAGTAGGAACTGCAGATGCTGGAGAATCTGAGATAACAAGGTGTAGAGCTGGATGAACACAGCAGGCCAAGCAGCATCGGAGGAGCAGGAAGCCTGACGTTTTGGGCCTAGACACTTCAGAAATGGGGGAGGGGAAGGGGGCTCTGAAATAAATAGGGAGAGAGGGGGAGGCGGATAGAAGATGGATAGAGGCGAAGATGGGTGGAGAGGAGACAGACAGGTCAAAGAGGCGGGGATGGAGCCAGTAAAGGTGAGTGTAGGTAGGGAGGAGATAGGTCAGTCCAGGGAGGACGGACAGGTCAAGGGGGCGGGATGAGGCTAGTAGGTAGGAGATGAGGGTGGGGCTTGAGGTGGGAGGAGGGGATAGGTGGGAGGAAGGACAGGTTAGGGAGGAGGGGACAAGCTGGGCTGGTTTTGGGATGCGGTAGAGGAAGGGGAGATTTTGAAGCTTGTGAAGTCCACATTGATACCATTGGGCTGCAGGGTTCCCAAGCGGAATATGAGGTGCTGTTCCTCCAACCTTCGGGTGGCATCGTTGTGGCACTGCAGGAGACCCAGGGTGGACATGT